TTGCAGGCCCGTGTCAATCACGGGAACGTTAGTGTTCAGTTCATTCGAGCGTGCGTGGCCCATGGGGCCCCTTGGATCTTTGAGAATCCAGGTAGTTCCGCATGCTTTTAAAACTCCGGCCCTTGGGAACTGCTTGATTTAGAGTGGTGTTTCGAGATTGTGCGCGGCCAGTGTCAGCGCGGCGCGCGGTGGGGGAAGAGACCGAAGCTTTTCGTAGGCAATATTTTGCGCTGATGATTGTGGTGGCCTAGTCAAGCAGTGCCGGGCCCGAAGAGGCCTGTGCTCCCGCGCGGGGAAAGCGCATTGGTACCTTTCCGGGGAATCCGGGGTGGGAAATCCATTGGACTGTTATTGCAGCCGAGTATCCTCGCACCCTTGCCCGCGATTTGGTTTTTGCCCTTGTGGCCCCCGCCGGATCTAAGCTTCGAGGGTGCTGACTGTCCTTGCTCGGATCTTTAGTTTCTTGGCCGTCTTTTCTGTGCCCTGGTTTGCTCGCTTTCTAATCCTGTGAACATCTGGTTTGGAATGGTTCGGGGCGACTGGCAGCGGCTGCGCGTGGACGCTGCCCGTGAGACTCGAGACGCATCCACCGCTGCGTGAGAGACTAAACATGGGAGTGCGTGCGCAGAAATGTTTGTTGATAACGTCTTGTCGCCCCATTTGTCTCCTGACAGTCTTTGGCTCACGAGATCAACCGGCCCTCCCCCCACCCTATTCTTATTTTTTCTTTGTGTATCAGACAAGACTGGTCTGGCCGTGGGACGACCTGGCAGCGGCTGCGCGTAGACACTGCCCTTGAGATTCGAGACGTATTCACCGCTGTGTGAGAGACTCAACATTGACATGACTTGTTGTTGTTGTTGTTGTGATGGTTGTGGTTGTTGTTGTGGTTGTTGTTGTGGTGGTGGTGGTGGTTGTGGTGGTGGTGGTTATTGAACTTTCATTTCAGAGCAGCAATTATGGTTGATCCCCCCACCACTGCATTTTTTTTACAATCAGTGTGCCACTCGACGCTCGCACCCTGTTTTTTGACAGGGGAAGTCTTGATGCTCAAACTGTGCCCCTGGCCCCCAGGTTACAACAACAGCGGCTCCCGCCTGAGACTTCCTCACAATTTAGCCAGGACCCCCGCTGCCCCCCCAGATTTTCTCGCATTCTATTCAGGAATCGTACTCTCGCTTGGGACTTCGTTACAATCTATTCAGAAATGGCTCTCCCGGCACTCTGGAGTCGCGCTTTCGCTGGACATTTGCTTGCGATTTACTGACGAAAAGCGCCCTTGCGTTGGAATTTCTTGCAATTGCGCCGTTGACGAAAAACGCCCTGACGAAAGGCGCCCTGGTGCCCTTGCGCCGCGCTCCCGACACCCAGGCACCCAGGAGTCGCGCTCACGTTTGGGACTCCCTCGCAGATTTCCTAGGAATCGGGATCTCGCTGCCTTTCGTGGCCCCGTTGCTGCCTTTGGTGGCCCCCTCGCTTTGTTTCGTGGCCCCGTTGCAGCCCCTCGTGGCCCCCTCGCTTTGTTTCGTGGCCCCGTTGCAGTCCCTCGTGGCCTCCTCGCTGCCCTTCGTGGCTCCGTTGCAGCCCTTCGTGGCCCCCTCGCTGCCCTTCGTGGCCCCGTTGCAGCCCTTCGTGGCCCCCTCGCTCCCCTTCGTGGCCCCGTTGCAGCCCTTCGTGGCCCCCTCGCTGCCCTTTGTATGCGTTTCGTGGTCCCCGCTCGTTCGCGCCCGTGGTGGCCCCATATCCCCGCTGCCGCCCTTCGTGGCCCCCTCGCTGCCCTTCGTGGCCCCGTTGCAGCCCTACGTGGCCCCCTCGCTCCCCTTCGTGGCCCCGTTGCAGCCCTTCGTGGCCCCCTCGCTGCCCTTTGTATGCGTTTCGTGGCCCCCGCTCGTTCGCGCCCGTGGTGGCCCCATATGCATGCCCTTCGTGGCCCCGCTGCCGCCCTTCGTGGCCCCCTCGCTGCCCTTCGTGGCCCCGTTGCTGCCCTCAGTGGCCCCGTCCTTGCCCTCCGCGGCCCAACATACGTATGCCCTTCGTGGCCCCCGCTCGTTCGCGCCTTCCTGTCTCCGCTGTCGTTCTTCGTGGCCTACTTCGTCTCCTTCCGTGGCCCTGCTGTCGTTCTCTCTTGCTCTCGCTTTCGCTCGTCGTCGTCGTCGCCGTCGTCGTCGTCGTCGTCGCCGTCGTCGTCGACGTCGTCGTCGTCGTCGTGGTCGGTCCCCTGTCCGTCCCTCTTGGGGGCGGGTCGACGGTCCGCGGCCGCCTCGCCGATCAGCGCTGCCGCTGGCCAGGCCGACGGTCCGCGGCCGCCCCGCCGCTTGCCGGGGCCCGACCTGCAGGGAAGAAATGTATACCCCCCAAAGGGGGTTCGATCGAAGACGAAAAGGGCGGGTATCGAGGGTTTGGGAAACACGCGTTATTGGACACTCGAGCAGATAAGGGCGACCAGTCTTAAACTGATTGTTGTTGTTGTTGTTGTTGTTGTTGTGGTGGTGGTTGTGGTGGTTGTGGTTGTGGTTGTGGTTGTGGTTGTTGTTGCTGCTGCTCCTATTATAAGTAGTTCTTTAGTGTTAGTATTAGTCTTGCTCTTCTTTTTCATCTTCTTATTTTTCTTCTTAGTATTCTTCTTCTTCTTCTTATTATTATTCTTCTTCTTCTTCTCTTCTTCTTCTTCTGAGAGAGAAAGAGAGCGAGAGAGAGAGAGAGAAAATTATGGGACGGGAGCTCGCCCGCTTCGGCCTGCTGAGGTCTCCAGGAGTCTCTGGAAGCGGACGGAGGTAACATTCCCGAAGCGCAGAACGCCTGAAGTCCAGGAGCCGAGGAGCCCAGATTGTTGAAGGAGCGCCACGCCCGCCGCCGCCGCTCCGAAGAAGGCCAAGAGCTCACCGAGCTCGCGGTGCTCGAACTCGTCTTCTGACTCTTTCAAAGGCACCAGCTCGTTCTCCATGGCCTTCATCGTGGTCGGTGTGACGATGCCCTCCAGCTTATTCCTCACCAAGGACGCTCGCTCACGCACGCGTTTCCACGCTGGCTTAGCCAGAGGAGGGGCACCCCAATCGGCACATGCTTCCAGTTGGAGGAGAAGGAGGAGGAGGAGGAGGAGGAGGAGGAGGAG